CTCTTCTTGTTCTTGTTTGTGCATTCCTTTCCTTTGAATGGAATTGTGAGTCCTTTCTTACCCAAATAATTAATTCATAGAATGCTAAAAAGACTATGTCTACCACACTTCTGTCAATTTTTGTCAAGACTATCTCATTACTTGTCACATGGCTGAGTTGTTCCTGTAATATCAATTAGTACTCTTGAGTATCATTAAAAGAGCCACTTCATTATGTATATGTATGTGGCTCCCATCAATTAATTTGTCCTTACCGTATTCTAGAGTACATTCTAACTTGTCTTTAGCTTCTAAGCCCAAGGCTTTTATAAGTGCAGTATATGAAGGCTTCACAGCAAAATGCTTCTACAAGATTTGACATTAATTGATATCTTCTCTAATAGCACATAGTTGTTGTTTTTTCACATGCTCAAACATAGTGTTCAAATGTTTATGCATTTTCTGGCCTTTTCCATCATAATCAAATGATTTTTTAAAAGTTATTTTTTTTAATGGGATTCACACACTGTATTCTGTATGTATACATATGAAGTTAGTTGATCAGATTCTGCTAGAAAAATTGCAGTAAACTGAAAAAGAACTGATTTAAAAGAAAAAAGAAAATCTGTAGATCAGCTACAGTCAACACATTGAAATTATTTTTTTTAATTTACAATTAGCATTTAAAATAAACATTTATTAGCATTACAATAAAAAGGAAAATCAGTTGCTATTATATATGTAGCTGTACACTTTCTTGTTTTAATAGAGTAACATTGTATTTGTAAATGCTAACTAGGACAAACCTAAAAACCTCATACTCTCAGCATATTTGCCTTGCTAAAACACCTTACAAATATATAACTGTACGACATGCTGACAGATTTGTCCTATTGCTTGGGCTGGTCACAGCATTCCTTGTAAAGTTTCTTAAGTTAAGTTCATACATTTTTCAATGTGTAAAATACTCACAGTGGGTGAATCACATTATAGCATGCGAGGCACAAATACATTCTGAATGCCGCAGCCAAAAATCAAGAGTTACAGGCATAAATGAATGGTATTTGCAATGTTAATATATCCCCTCTCATTCACTTTGATCTCATAGTGAGCAGTAACATCTGAGGTAATCATAGAAACATAGAATTTCAGAAAAGAACCAATCACCCTGTCAAGCCTGTCCAATTTACTTAAAAGCTTAAGCTTATTTAACTCTCAAGATCATCTCGTGTCTGTCAAAGGCATTTTTAAATATCATTACTCCACATGTTACCCCTGCCCGCATGAGGAATGATTCTGTGCATTACTTCTGTCTCTTGAAATGTGTAATTTTCAAGTAATATTCTTGGTTTTCCTTTCTAAAACGCAACATGCTAAATGTCCTCGGCCTAATGAAAATGTTTGTATCTTGTCATGTAAGAGCATATACTCGTCCTTCTTCCAGCCATCATCAGATGGGAGCAAAGCACTCTCTTTTAGAATGGACACCAACTGATTTATTTTCTTTTTCATGTTTCCCTTCCCATCGTCTTCTCAGCTCTTATATATTTACTTTTCATTTTTATTCTACTGTTTTATCTTTATTACTCCGTTTTTGTCTTCTTCCCTTTATGGGCTAGATTATATTGCCAGAGATAAACTTAATTTTGGTATCAAAGAACAGTTCTCCATTTGATCTCTATGTGGAAATGGCATGTAGTTATAAGAGATCAGCTTATCTCATATTGCTTAGTTTTTTTGTGTGATCAGAATTATAATATTAAACCAAATTATATTATATATTATTACCAAATATAACTGAAACTCAGGAACACATCAACTTTTTAGCCATTTACCATGCAAAAAAATGCAATAGAAGACTTTAAAAAGAATGAGTGTTTATAACTACTAAATACATTTGTCCATTCACTGGTCCTGCAAAATCAATATGGATTCTTGTCCAACATAAAGTTGGCCATAGCCAAGTCTTCGAGGTATTCCTGATCAGATTCTGCTGAGTCTGTGCACTTGCATGACATGCAGCTATATAAAAAGAGATATCTTCATCCAATATAGACCACAAATAATATTCCCATGCTTTTTACTACACCCAGACATGAGCTCTGTAGTAACTTCAGGCTAATGTTTGCAGCGATCTTGAATTCCTCGCGAACCCCAGAAAAGACAGCTCGAATTGTGTTCAGTTCTTACTTGTATAATATGACTTTCAGCCACCTATGCTAAACAAAAGACTTAATCTCATGTAACGTAGAATCAGAACACATATAGGTAGAAATCCCCTTGGATTTATATTGGAAGGGTGAGGAGAAGATTCTATTATTTGAGAAGTTGCTGCCATATTATGTACCATTAGCAATCAAGGAAACATATCCACATTAGTATGATCATGGTAGCATCTATAATTACAGATATTATTCTAAAGGGCGTAAAATGGACAATAGACATGATCTGTGATCAGAGTAAAAGGTCCAAAATAAATATAAATGTGAAATTTGTTTCACAACTCACATTATTGCTAGAGTTTCCTATCAATTGGGATATATTTTTTCAGGAATAATGTTTAAAAACAAGATAATTTAGGGCACTGTTCAAGTTTGCTCTAACAGTGTGGGACTCCCTTCCCCCACATCTGTAGATACATATACAAACACAAAAGAGAAAAAAGTTGGAGCAAGCAATAAATGTTTAATACATAGAGTGCAATGTAAAGTCAATAAATACTTTTCCACATAAAGTAGAGTAAAAGTTTCAATAAAGTCAGTTGGAGTACCAAACTTTAGTAAAAGGTGTAGAGATGCTAGGCTTATTCCTCCTTTATTATAAGAAAATCTTGTGGAGGTTCTACAATAACAAGAAAAACTACACAGCGTAATATAGCTTAATGTTAACACACTTGTAGGCCAGATAATCTAGCTAAACACTGTAAACTTCTCAAAGAAGGACGATGCCTCTGAGTAGAAATGAATAAACCATTTATGGGAAAAAACAAAACCATAAAACAAAAGCATAAAAGTAAAAAAAAAAAATACTTGCTGAGCTCAATAGTACACCCTGTTCCAAATTATTATGCAAATGATATTTTTCTTATTTACCTAAATAATTGATGTAAATAACAGTCAGCATAATTCTCATGTTATCAACTATTAAGAGTACAATTCAAATTTTATTGAACAAACCTCCTAATGATAACAGTATTTGTTTTAAACATAAAAAACTTACAATGCACTGTTCCAAATTATTACGCACAGTAAGTTTCAAAACACTTTATAGGTTGTAAAGAACTGAAAATGGTCATTTGTTGTGTTTGCAGCATATTTACTGAAATCAAAAGCTATTTCAATCAAACTTATAACAACATTTTAACTTTTTAAACATTTTAACAGGTCACGTTACATTTTAACATAGGACCCCTTATTTGATAGCAGCTTCACAAGTCTTGCATCCATTGAACTTGTGAGTTTTTGGACAGTTTCTGCTTGAATTTGTTTCCAAGATGTCAGAATAGCCTCCCAGAGCTGCTGTTTGGATGTAAACTGCCTCCCACCCTCATAGATCTTTTGCTTGAGGATGCTCCAAAGGTTCTCAATAGGATTGAAGTCAGGGGAGGATGGAGGCCACACTATGACTTTCTCTCCTTTTATCCCCATAGCAGCCATTGATGCAGAGGTATTCTTTGCAGCATGAGATGGTGCATTGTCATGCATGAAGATGACTTTATTACGGAAAGCATACTTCTTCCTTCTGTACCAGGGACGAAAGTGGTCAGTCAGAAACTCCACATACTTTGCAGAGGTCATCTTTACACTTTCGTGGACCCTAAAGGGGCCGACCAGCTCTCTTCCCATGATTCCAGCCCAAAACATGACTCCACCACTGCCTTGCTGACGTCGCAGCCTTGTTGGAACAGGGTGGCCATCCACCAACCATCCACTACTACATCCATCTGGACTATCCAGGGTTGCACGTCACTCATCAGTGAACAGGACTGTTCGAAAATTAGTCTTCATGTATTTTGTCTGCCCAATACAGCCGTTTCTGCTTGTGAGCATTGGTTAGTGGTGACCGAACAGAAGGTTTATGCACAGTTGCAAGACTCTGGAGGACTCTACACCTTGATGTTCTTGGGACCCCAGAGGCACCAGCAGCTTCAAATATCTGTTTGCTGCTATGTAATGGTATTTTAGCAGCTGCTCTCTTGATCCGATGCATGCTCCTTTAGTAGTTTTTCCTTAAATTGGGCTCACCTGGCTATCTAATTATCACAGGTGTCTGAGATTGTTTTCAGTGATCAAAAGAGCCCTGAGACACAATGCCATCCATGAGTTAAACTGAAAAACAAAATATTTAATCTTTGTGACGCTTAAATAGAATTTGCATTATAATTTGGAACAGGGTGTATATAAGAATAAAGTGCAGAAAACGAACATGTGTTTCGCCCGATGGCTTCCTCAGTTGGATCTTCTCTGTTATTTATATACCCTACTAATTATTTAAATGAAAATAATCTGTGATTTTTCTGCTGTTGAACACGTTGTGCGTTTTACAATGAGTTCCAATTTTTAGATCGTCTTGTCATTTCCTTTTTGGACACAGCATTTTGCATAATTTCCTGTCTCTGTTGTGCCACATCGTGCAGGATTGCATGGTTTTGGAGTGCATAAGCCCATAACATGGCCCATATCAGTGTGGTTTTATTTGGAACACATAGTTCTATAACCGGATCATTAGGTACAAGTCCCTTTAAGGCTAAAAAAAAAACTGCATTAAGAACAAAACATGAAATTAAAAGCCCACATTTGTAAAATCATGTGAATTTAAGACCAAGATAACAGTTCTAGATTTTATAGTGAACATTATCAATAGAAGTGATGTTTCTGGGGCATGGCTAGCCAGGAACCTGAATGGTAGCCATTTAAGTGAGCTCAATGGACACTGGGCTTACTTTTGAATATAAATGCTATTTAAACTGATTCTATGCTGAACATTTTTGGGGCGAGAACTTATCTTATACCACATGCAACATGCAGAGAGAGAAGAGAGCAGAGTCTAATACACTTTCTTCACAGATCCCTGAGAAAGATGCTGTGGGCCGCAGCGGGCCTAAGTTTCCCATGGCCCAAAGTTTGCTGCAGCCAGAGACACTCTCCTCCCGTCCTGCTCAGCTACTAGTAGAGCTCCTACCTGAACGGCATCCAGCCGCGAAGTGCCGCGGCAAAACAGAGTCACGAGCACTAGAAGACAGGCAGTCGCAGGTGAGTTACTCCCTGAGACACAGGGACCTAGTGCCTCCAGGCTCCCTGCGTCCAGCAGTGCCACAAGTGGCGCACGTGCATCCAAACTCGCTGGATCACGGGAGAACACAGAGATGTCCTATGTGGCTGCTGCCCATACGGCAGTCAGACGCAATGTTTCGGGTGAGCCTGCTTCTGAGCCACCAATGTATTTAAAAAACACTGGGGATGCACAGAGTGACACTAGGCCGCGGCCGGCTCCTGCGGCGCTCAGTACTGTGGCCGGAATAAGCCAGGAGACAATGGAACGAATGGTGGGGGGACCCCAGACACCCCAGTGACTATATAAAATATTTGGATTATGCTTCAAAGCATCAGACAAAGTCTGAGTTAAGACATTAAAGAGGATTTCACAGAAGGATTCTCGCAACTAAAATACAATGTTGCAGATCTTGAATACAGAGCTGACACAGTGTATGAAACATTTTGTTTTTAACATGAAGCAAAAATAGCTGACTTAACAGAACAACTTACTGCTATGAAAATACAACAGCAGTCTGCAAATGCAAAACTGGCTGATTTAGAGGACAGAAGCAGGAGGAACAACCTGAGAATTAGGGGCATTCCTGACGCAGTTCAGCCAAACAAATTGGAAGACTACCTAAAAAATGTAATAAGGTCAGTTAGGCCAAATCTCAATGATGCAGACCTGAGTAGTTACCGTATCCATAGGTTACCCAAGCCTGCTTCTGCTCATAGAGGCGTGCCTAAAAACACTATTGCAAGGCTACACTACTTTTGAATTAAAGATATTCTGACGGCTCTGTGTACATGGGAATTGCCTTCAAAATACAGCCACATTAAAATATTTCAGGACATTTCTCCAGGTACCATGCAATGGCATAGAGAATTTGGACAATTTTCTTTATCGTTATCGATGGGGATATTTCAGTTAAAGGTTTTGTTTCGGATGGATGGGCGTAATTATGTCATTGCTACCCCAGAGGAAGGAATGGAGGTGATACAGTCTTTGTCTGCTATGGATCCGACTACCCCAGAGAGGTTTACCAACCAGACACCATAGACAACACAACGACCACTGAAGATGATGGACGTGAGGCCGTAATGACACTCTGAAGAACTGGTTCTGCTAACACATTATTATTTTTTTAGACTGTTTTTGCACTTTTTTCCCCTTTTTATTTATTTATTTATTTTTTCTTTCCTAGTTCATTTTTTAAGACTCTAATCATGTTCTTTATTATGCTTAATTTTCTTTTTTAAATTTTTTTTCACCTACTTCTTTATTTTTGTTTTTGATTTTTATTTGATTTTTCTTTTACATTTTTTTCACTCATTCCTTTCTACATACTTAATCAGCAACTTTACTCTAATTTTATTTTAACTATTTCAATAGGCCTCATTGTCCCTACTCACTTTCCCCCAATAGGCCTGTATATTTCTGAAGATGGGATATTTTTTAAATCCCCTCTTAAGACCTTTTTATTTGTATATATTTTATTTTTTATTTTTTTATTTCCTTTTTTGATTTTATTTTCCATTTTTTTGGTTCTTTCATCTCTTATGGGATTTTTGCTCCAAGTTATTGTCCCTTGTTTTTTATTATGTTTTTTAATGTTATTGGACATTCATACCATATTATTTTCTTGACTACATTTTTGGAAACCAAGTGTCTACTTAAGACTATTTAAATGGTGCATTTCGGATTAAGGTTAGGTATATACTGTATATACAGGTATATACAGGTATATACTGTTTGTTCTCTGACCAGCTTTCGTCTCTTGATATTACTCAAATATGTGTTGGGGGCCCCTCATAAGTCAGTTTTTACTAATCCTGTTTTAGAAATATAAAGGTGTAGACAATGGTTCTGAAGTTGTACTCTCATAATGTGAGGGACCTCAACATACCACATAAGAGACGTTTGTTGTTTAGGGAAGTAAAAAAGCAAAAATCTGATGTTATTTTTGTACAGGAAACAATTTTCAAAAAAGACAATATACCTAAGTTCCTGTCAAAAGAGTTTCCAACACAATTTCGTTTTGCATTCAAATCCAAATCTAGAGGGGTTTCTATACTGTTTCATAACAATTTGTCCTGTAAAACAGAGAAAGTTATTAATGATTCAGATGGCCATTTTTTGTAATATGGCAAAGAACAATTGGTGGTGTGGAATACACATTGGTAAATGCATATTTCCATAACTCTGGGCAATATCATTATCTAAGAAAAATGGTTACCCGTATCTTTAAAAACGTCAGAGGCAGATTGATTATTGGTGGGGATATGAATTTCGTGTTGGATTGTGAACAGGATATAATTAGAGAAACTGTAAGATCTTCAAAAAACGACATTAGTGAACAATTGGCCAATACATACTCCAAATATCTTTTTTCACACAACTTGTTTGACATTTGGCAGATCCAACATGAAGGAGAAAAAGATTACACCTACCACTCCACCACTCTTATAACATGTATTCTTGCATAGACAGGTTCTTGATGCGTGAGCAAACAATATTTTCTGTCACAGTGTCGGGATCCCGCGGGCGGCTGCGAGGGGAGGCTGCACTCTGCTCGCAGTACTCACCCTCCAGCCATCCGCGGTCCCCTCCTCCTCGTGGGCTCGGCGAGCGGCATCCTTCCAGTCTCCGCCATTTCCTCCACGTCCCCCAGTGGCAGCATACATGATGCTGCACGCTGGGAGACCGCTCAAGTTATTACACGCCGGGGTCAGTCACCTGACCCGGCGTTAAAGGCACAGTGTCTCAATCACAGTGGGAGGTTTAGATATCTCCCACGTGTGATTGTTAATTCTGATTGGAAATTATCCAATCAGAATTAACCTTTTGGTTTAAATACTTACCTTTCCTGTTCCTTCCTGCCCTGTTGTGGTCTTTACTTGCTAGTATTACTACTGAACTTGTGTTTCTGGTTACGTACTCTCTGGCTTGTTTATCTGACTCTGTGACTTTCTCCTACCCTTTGACCTTGGCTCGTTTCACGTTATTCTGGTCTTCTGTGTGTGCTTAGCCCGGCCACTCTAAGGTCCGGTACGGCACCTTTTCTGTGTGTGTGTGTCAGCGTGTTGGGTTCCCCGAATCGTGACACACAGCGTCTGACATCTTAAATGTTAACTGGTCAGACCATGCCCCCATTTCACTACACTTAGAAGAGTCCTTTCAGTCATCTCCAGAGTGATCATGTTGACTTAGTGATTACCTGGTTAATAACCCAGAAAACAAGGTACTTGCTGAAAAGGAAATAAAAAATTATTTTCAGGAGAATTTGAACCCAAATTTGAATATCACTTCAATATGGAATGTCTTTAAGGCGGTGTTAAGAGGACATTTCATTCAGAGGGCATTGTATTTGAAGAATATTTGTTCCAAAAATACAAAAGAATTAGAAAATGAATTATACAAATTAAATCTGGCTAAAAAATTTGATCCTTCTTTGTCCCTAGCTGCAAACATTTCTGAGGTTAAAGCGAAACGTAATAGTTTGCAATTGGAGCATACTGCTCTGATGTTGAGAAGATTAAAACAAGTATTTTATTCAAAAGGAAACAAAGCCTCAACATTATTGGCTTCTAAATTGTGATATAAAATGTCACAGTCCAGGATTGAACATTTACTTAAAGATATAAAAATTACCCATCCCATTAAAATTAGTAATCGTTCGTGAGTTACTAAAAGAAATTGTACAATCTGGCCTTAGACCGTAGCATAACTCAGCCTACATCAGATAGGATTCTTTCATTTCTGGACAAAGTTCCTTTGAGACAGATTTCGGCCGAAAAAATTAAATACTCTTGATTTACCAATTTCATCAGAAAAAGCACTAAATGCCATTAATGTAATACCAACTGGTAAAGCTCCGGGACCTGAGGGTTACACAATGTCATACTATAGTTCCTTCTCTGGCATTTTAATCCCATATATAACTGAGCCATTTAATAATTATTGGACAACTGGTGAAATGCCTGGGGAGGCCTTGTGCGCACAGATTGTGATGCTGCCCAAGCCTGGTAAAGAACAAAATGTCTGTCAAAACTTTCGTCCCATATCCCTAATCAATAATTATACAAATATTTATTCAAAAATATTGGCCTTAAGATTCTCCCTTTTTTAATAGATAAAGAACAGGTTGGCTTTGTCGTGAACCATCAGGCCCTGGACAGCACGAGACAATACATTAATTTGATCCACCAAATTAAGCATAATAGAATGCCTTCTCTGCTCCTTTCTTTCGATGCGGAGAAGGCATTTGATGGAATCCATTGGGACTTTTTAAAATAAGTTATGTCGTGATTTAGCTTACCAGAATTGTACATCAGAGCAGTGTTTGCTCTTTATTGATCTCCAACAGCAAAGGTCTACGCTACAGGTTTTAAATCGGATAGTTTTGCACTGTCTAACGGGACCAGACAGGGGTGCCCATTGTCAACTCTCATTTTTGTGCTGGCAATGGAACCCTTGGCTGAAATGATTAGCAATTGTACGGAGATAGAAGGCATTGCAGTTGGGGGCAAAGTACATAAGATTGGCCTTTTTGCGGATGACATTATGCTGTCTTTGAAGAATCCCTTGTCCTCGATTTCACCTCTAATGTCAATCCTGCATGAATTTGGTGAAATTTCATATAATAAATTAAACAGAAGTAAAACTCAAGCACTTGTTTTCTTTGTCCTATGGTTTGAATTGAACAACCTAAAAAAACAATTTCAACTTTGACTGCCAGGACTCTTACTTACATTTCTTACTTAGGTATCAAATTATGCAAGAACCTGTCTAAGATGCATGATTATAACCTAGGTAAGTTCTGGTCTGCTTTTAGGAAAGACTTGGAGTGGTGGTGTGATCTCGAAATCTCCTGGATAGGAAGACTAAATTCTGTTAAAATGAATGTACTTCTGAAAATGTTGTATTATATCAGAGCTATCCCCCTCAATACTCCTCTATCTTTATTTAGGAAAGTTCATTCTGCCCTTTTGAAGTTTGTATGAAATAAGAAACCAAGCAGAATTAAACTGGCTATATTGCAAAAGTCCAGGGTTAGTGGAGGTATGGGTTTTCCAGACTTCATTAATTATTTACACGCTACCAATGCTGCAATCAAATTTAATCTAGATACTGAACGACCACACTGGCTTGAGATGGA